ATTGAATTTCAGAATGATATAGCTAATGTGATACCTGTTGAGCCAGAAGACAGCTGGCGACGGTACAGATAAGGAATACGGAAACGGTAGACTGCATTATAACCCACTGAAAGTATTATACCGGTTAATTCATGATTGGCGCAGATAAAAAAAAAAGAATTGAAACGACAAGACAATGGGCTTTGATCGGAAGCTTATTGGAATGGGAAGGAAACATGGATGTTCGGAACTTTCTCATATATGGACAGCTTGTGTGAATTATTTTTTATGAGGACAATGGAGTTCGTGTATGCCATATAAGCGTTAAAGAAGAGGTGTGAATCGTAAAAATTGAAAAAGAAAAATTGTTTTTACACCAATGAAGGAGGGAGGAGTTCATTTCTTTCTTCCACCCTCTATCTCTCTTTGCCTTTCTCCTACAGCTCTCTGTCTATTCGTAGATGTTCTTTGTCATTTAGCACAATCAAAGGAACGTTTGTTCGAAATATGGTGAACGCACAAGATGTATCAGCAATTTTCAGAACAAAATGAATGAAAAGAAGTATTTGTCAACAGCCATTCACGTAATGAGTACGTATAGTATAGAGAGTGCCTCCTTGCTTCTTCTCTATGTAATTAACAATTAATTGAGATTATACTTGTGACTGGTTGAATAATAAGGAGGAAAAAAGTTCTTCCACTTCCTACTGCTTCTTCTCTTCCTCATTACGTCAGACGATGTGATGTCAACGTCTAGAAGGGATTTGTTGCGAATGAGAGAAATAGGAAGAGACGGAAAATCGTTTAAATAATAAAAAGAAACATTCAGTGTTTTCTTATTCTCCGCATTGCACAAGAAGGATATGTGACATCATGAATTGGATGATGTCGTCGAAGCACAACTAACTCTCTCAAGCAATCATTTCTTCTAAGTATCAGCTACAACTCACACAAAAATGACTAAAACGATAGTCCGCAGAGACTAGAAGCAATGTCTCTTACAATTGAATGAGCTATTATGGATATGATGCTTGAAAGCATTTTCAAAACAAAAAGAAGACGAAAAAGTCAAACAGAAGTTGGGATGAGGACATATGAACAAGGAAGAGAAGAGGATGTAAAGGAGATGTTCCCTTTGCGGGCAAAGAAATGTGAGTCTGTGGACGGAGGAGTGAGAATCTGTGGAGCGAACTGGAAAAGAAGAGATGTTCAGTCATTTATAAACAACGAAATTAAAGAAGAAATTGAGTCATTTATGCTCGCAGGAACACACTGCTGTCCTCCGATCAACCAACCGTGAAAGGTTGTCAAAAGTTTGTTTTTTTCTTTTTCAACTCAGCTGAAAAGGAAAAAAGCGAAGGAGAAGCTGCGATTGATGTAGAATGACGAATATCATCCTCGAATATTCTTCATATATATACTATATGCGAATAAATTAAATTTAAAAAGCTTTCTTATATTCAAACCCACTTAAGATGTCGTTCTCTCCCCACCACCTACTCAACTCAGATTTCTACTTTCACCTTATTAGGAAATGCTTTCAACTTATGTCAAAACTAATTTGTATAGCTTCTGATGCATACACAAACACATTTAGATAAGAAAAAGTTTTTTCTTGCAAAAGATATCAGGAAGTAGCTAGATTAGAAGAGATTCGTGAACATCACAGGATGGGTACGAAGGTTGAGGTTGTCGGAAAGCAATGGGATGGGCTATACGTTCAGAAGGTAAGGAGAACGCAAATGAATCTTTGAAGAAGACTTCCAGAGATAGAGAGAGAGAGAGAAAGACGAACGAACTCTACTATTATGGGACAAAGCTAACATCTTTCGGAGAAGCATGTTCCCAACCAGAGTATTCAACAAACTTTTCGTATTTTGTGGAAAGCCGAAGATCGGATAGGATCACCTAGTAACAATTAATATATTCCTTATATTTACATATTCTTTTGAATAACTTTGCTTTAAAAAAAAAGAAAAAAGGAGAGAAGAGAAGAGGGAGGGAGGGAGAGAGAGAGAGAGAGATAGGGAGAGAGAGGAATGGAAGAGGAGAGGGGTGTAGAAGCTAGCAGAGGGTGGATTTCCATATGAGTACTGAAGATTCTTCATGAAATTAAGAGTTGTTTCAACACTTTTTCTACAAAAACATAATGATTATTCACATCTAATTGACCATTCGAGATTACGGTAGTTCCTGTTTTTGGTAAGAAAAGAGTACAAAGAGAGAGAGAGAGAGAGATAGAGAGATAGAGAGAGAATGTGTGAGGATAGACTGAACAGAGAGAGAGAGAGGTAAACAACGTGAATAGGATAAGTCTTTCTTTTAAAAATCACATATGCATATGTCCTTTTAAATAATTAATTTAAATATTAAAAAGATTATTTTGACAGACGATGATCCAGCTGATCTGAGATTAAGCTTTTCAACAAACTTTCATCTCCTTTTGTGTTCCATGGAGCTAAAACAGAAAAAAAAATTTTCTGTGAGCTGTCAACGTGTGTCTGTCAGTCTCAGGAGAGGAAGTTCCTTCTTCACAGATTTAGATTATAGTTTTGTGGATTTTACGTAGAATACAACGAAAAGCCTTTAGAAGACAAAGTGATTGAGAAGAAGCTTGTGTAGACGCTGACAGAAATTGAATACAATAAGGTCATAAAGGCAAAACAATGAAGGTCGAGATGAGAGATAAGTTCAATGAGTTTGAAAAGAAAAAGTTATTTTGCTCATGCAATCGTGGGCGCGGAAGCAAGGGAGATGAGATATGTAATTCAAATCAAAAGATCGTCATCATTGAAAGGTAATTGGTAGGAGGGATATTCAGATGATGCTATTGGAAATAGCAAGTGCAGAATGGAAAATTAATTTTATTGAATGATGTGAGAAGAGGATAGAAGATGAGAGAAAAGATTTTGTGAGAAAATTACAGAACGGAATCAGGAGAAGGAGGGGGAGAGGATATGATTAATGGAAGGGAACCAAAAAAGGCAGCCAAAAGACAACTAAAATGAAGCGAATGATGAGAATGATGATGATGATTACGCTGGCTATTGGATACTTGCGAGAGAGGGAGGAGCATAACCGCATAGAAGGAATGAATGAGAGAGACAGTTTGAATATCTCAAAAAGATGTGGAAAACTAGAAAAGAAACAAGTTGAATATTTCAAATATGTACATGAGGAATTAGTGTAAAACATCTTTAAGTGAAAGAAAAAAGTTTGAGATTAAACATAGAGAGAGGGAGTAGAGAGGGAGCAATGAGTTAGAGGAAGAGAGAAGAAGGAGATAGGGCAAAGGGAAGAGCAACCGTCTCTTGCGAAACTAAATGTAAAAATGAAAATTTGATTTTACGTCAAATGACGTGAAAATGAGATTGGAGGGAAGATAATTTGCATACAAAGTTTTATCAAATAAATAATTTAAGGAACTATTAGATTGAGCTGAAGATCAGCAGCATCGAGAAGAGGCACAAGTTGTCCAGATAATTGGTGCAAATGCTTCAGAAGTAAGAAAGTTTTGTGGATGAGCTGGAGAAAGGGAAAACATAGCTTCTGCTCTATTCACAATGAGCTTCAATGCAAAAGCCGTTTTTTTTCAAAAAGTCCATTCGTATCGTCGATCAGACTCGTTCGAAGTTCATATTGGGAGATGACAGAACAATAATAATCTTCTGCCTCCAGATATGGGCATATGTTTGCTTTGGATGAAAGAAAAAAAAAGATTGTGGAAAAGTAATCCTTCTAAATACCATGTGTGAAGAAGATAAGAGGCTAGATGGAGGTAGAGAACGTGTGTAGTCACATACACACACACATACTGACTGACTGAATTGAAAATGCTGGGTAAAGCTGAGCATCAAGCTTTATATACTGCTTTCCAGCTTGCCATCCATAATATACAGTAGATCGTTTTGACGTCATGCATCTGTCAAAATACTCAAAGAAGGCAAGTAATTCAATTATTATACATTAGAAGTTACTCTTTCTCAGCTTTCATCTCAATTTCAAAATATCCTGAGGCAAGATTTGCATTTTGTCACTCTCACGAAATGCTTTTAGACATATGTTTCATAGCGATATATGGATGAGATCATGACGAGGCCATAAATACAATCAGAATCAACGATGAGGTTTGTTTCATGAAAAATAAAAATTGCGAAGGCGGGTTAATAGCAGAAATTATAATTTTCTCACTCAAAAATCAGATGTCAAACAACATTGGCTATATGGATGAAGGTTGTAGCGGCGGGTGGATGCGAAATTTAATAAACAATTGGAGTACACATGTTGCCTGAGGCAATACTTTCCACAAATAGCTGACGTTTCGTTGATTTTGTGTCATGATCATCAGATGACGTCGCATTCTATACGAAACGATTGTAGGGCTACATCGCCAACGTTATCCCACTCTGTCAATCTTGTAAAGAACATTTTACTTCAATCATACTCTCTTAAGTAAACCTTCATTCTCTCTATCTCCCTCATACATGTATACTCCTCTCTCCCCTCTCTCGCCTCTCATCTGAAAGCCGACAGTTTACAAAGGCAGTGGTTTTCATTTTAATTTTTGATCATTTCAGCTTTCTTACTTTTCGTTTCAATATTCATAAAAATAATATTAGCTTTCTTCTAAAAACTTTATGAAGCAATGAGTTCATTTGAATGTTCATTGCCTCAGGCAGTTTTTAATGAAATTTCCAACTGCAATGACATAGGAGATACAGAGAGAGAGAGATAGAGAGAGACAGAGAGAGGGAGATAGGGAGAGAAGGATGCAACAGAGGTTACATTAGTTTGTTTATCATCCTGATATCATCTGTTGGATGTCTAATTAATCAAAAATTCCAAATAAGAACATCTTGTTGAGAAGAAGACGATGAATGTTTTAAAAACTTTCTTTCTCTTTGATTTTTGTGTTTACGAGAGAGACACGACATACACACACACACACAACTCGTATCTAACATTCACTTTCCATATATGTATGTATAAAATAAAAATTCTTTTATTTTATGCTAATTAGCAAACAAACGAAAATCTGAGTGAAGTAGTTGAGAAGACAAATAAACTGAATGACGACATCCATATTATGGCGTTTGACTTTGTATTTTTCCCTGGTCACTTGCTTAAATGGCAAAAGAACACACATAACACGACGTCCTTCCCTTCTCTCTCTCTCTCTCTCTCTCTCTCTCTCTCTCTCTCTCTCTCTCGTCATTATCGTCTTTCTCACAGAAGCTTGTGCTCTAATGGCAAACATCTCAGCTTCTAATGATTTTCAGAATAAAAAAAGAACTTTTTTGTGTGAAAAATCTCTGAATGACATGTAAATTGGATATGCTCTAAATGGAAATGCATAAACACATGATGATGGGCCAATAAAATAATTTTGGGAAATCGTTTATGAGCTTTGCTCAGGAAGCTTTGTTGATTATCTAAGTAACAGACAGTAGGCTGTAGCTGCAGAGGCAGGCGACAAACTATTTCCTCAAATATAATAAACCTTACTTTCTATTTTTTGTTTCATCAAAAACAAATCTTTGATCGTAATGTTATCTCATTAGCAAAGCTTCTTCAATACACAGAGGTTTTTTCATTCAAATATGTGAGACGGACAATGCCTCAGGGAACAATAGGTCACTCGATTGTGAACAGCTGTTTTCATTTCAGGTTTCTCAACTAAGACACAACTGACTGACTACTGAAACAGAACCTTTCTGAAGAAGATGATAAACTTCTATCTTTCTGTACTTCGTTCTCTGTAGCACAAGTGCATCCCCCAATAGACGTCTCTCAGAAACTGTCCGTCACAGTTGACTTTTGCTCTGACTAACTGTAACGAAACAATTCCTTCATTACATTTCCGTCAGGAAGCGGACATAGAATGTGCTCTTGCTCTCTTTGCAGCTCATTAGACACCAAGTTATCTCATCATGTTATTTAATCTGTTTCATTTGTTTTTCCTCAATGTCTTTTATTGTTTTATTTTTTGCAGTAGGATGTTCGTTTATAATTTTTCATAATTTACCATAGAATTTAGTGGGTTATAATGTAGTCTACCGTTTCCGTATTCCTTATCTGTACCGTCGCCAGCTGTCTTCTGGCTCAACA